ATGGGTGCCAAAAGGTCCGTCACTGGAATAAGCCCTCAACCAATAACTGTGCTTCTCATGAACTTACTATATTCTGCATGGCTTTCTGTTCTTCTCTTTCCCACTTCTTCAACCATGCTTTTCCAGATAAAATCCTAAATAAAACACTTCACTCAATTCCTTATCTCAGACACAACTTCTGGCAGAATGAACCAAGGTTCGTTCAGGTTGACAGCACCTGAAACTCACTGAAAATTCTTACTTCACAAAAAAGTGGATAACAAGGCATTAAATGCTTCCAGAGTAAATATCACCACCTTTGTAATGTTCTTATCAAAAAAATTGGCAAAAATTCTTTTTCACAAAAGATCACTTGAGTTTATGCAAGCCTCTAGAACAAACTACCAGAAGAAACACAAAGATACAGACAAATCCAGAGACTTACTTTTAAGTCTCCCAAGTGCCCTAATATTTGGTTACTTGAGCGGATATAGAAAGATAAACAACTACCATAAAATCTCCACCTCATTTTCCAAAGCAACACAGAGGGTTTACCCAGGGTTCACTTTTAATTGGGCACAGTTCACTGTGAGGGACGCAGGCAATACTGCTCAGGTACTGTGGTGCAGGGACTACCTGGTCCTTGCAACGCTCAGAGGCCTCCAGGGCCATCCCCAAGGATGCTCGAGAAAACATGTGATCTTCCATACACCCTAACCCTGCACTGAATCCCCAGTCTGCCACCTCCTTTTCTGTATGTGCCACCTAATTCTGAGAGTTCAGGGATTCAACCACAAGAAGAATAGCAAAAGGTCTTAGCAGAAAGCTGTCCTTTCAGTGAAGGCACCTGGAAGGAGAAAAGGTAGCAGAAAATGGTAGGGACAGGAAAAAAGGGGAAGTGGATTAAAAAAATGAGGACAAAAAGAAGAGGAAAACGAAGAGAAAAAGAACCAATGAAGGAAAAATAAATTTAAAAGAAAGGGATCAGAAGAGAAGAGAGATTTAGAAAGGAAATAAAATGTAGAAAGATGGGGGTGGAGAGATAGAACAGTAGGCAAGGCACTTGTCTTGCACTAGCTGATCCAGATCAATCCCTGGCACTACATATGCTTCCCTCAAGCAGTGATCTCTGAGCACAGAGCCACGAGTCATCTCTGAGCACAGTCAGATTTGGCTAAGAAAACAATTAAAAAGGTAGAGGGAATTTGATCCATCCAACATGTGTTCACGTATTGACTCCTGCTGTATGAGAGTGTGGTGGATGCAGTTGCACGCACCTTGCATGCAGTTGACCTAAATTCAATTCCCAGGACCATGTATGGTCCCCCAAGCCCACTAGGAGTGATCCCTGAGCACAGAGACAGGAGTAAGCCCTGAGCACCATGGTGTGTAGACTAAAAAAAAAAAAATCTGCAGTGAGTCACAAGACTCAAATGTGTATTTTCCATTAGGAAAAGTTATCCTGTTTTCTAAATTAAGCTTAAATACCTTCACATGCCCATTAACCATCTATATTTTTTTCATCCAATATCTTACCTAGAGACTTTTTAAACCTTCTTTGGGGGTTTCCTAAAAACTCCAATATTTCACTAATCCGTAATGTGACTTCTGCCACCATCACGATGTCAATGTCCTCCATTCTGTAGCATTGAATTACTTCATTGATCTGCCACAGAAGATAAATCCACTAAAAAAAAAAAACATGCAGCAAAATCAATTCACAACATATTACACATTATGAGAGTTACACTTTCTAAAACTTAGTACTTCATAGAAGTCACTACCTTCTAATCCTATGAAAGGATTACAGGCATCTCTCTCCATATTAGTGCTTCTTAACTATAAAATAATATGAAGACTTTTGATACTAATAAGATATATCAGAATGCTTCCATAAATTCATTTAATTTCATAGCCTCATATCCATAGTCATCATGGAAAATTGTTAACATTAATAGTATAGATCAGTGACAATTATCTTCTCAAAATTCTCATCCTCTTTTATTGCTTTTTTTTTTGCAGGGATCACACCTGGCAATGCACAGGGGTTTACTCCTGGTTCTGCACTCAGGAATTACTCCTAGCAGTGCTTTGCTTACTATATGGGATGCTGGGAATCGAACCCGGATCGGCTGTGTGCAAGGCAAACACTCTACCCTCTGTGCTATTGCTCCAGTCCCCAGTTCTCATCCTCCTTAGGCAGCTGTTATCTAGATCTTCTAAAATAGTGGGGAAAGAAGATGTTTCAGACTCCACACTTGGACCTGCTTTTTATGTGCATATCCCTAAAGCTTAGTACATAAAATTATCATTTCACTTTGCAAGTTAAAATAAGAAAACAGTATTTATGTGCCCAAATCATTACTTTTCAGAGTACATGATACAATCAGGGAAGGCATCCTAAAATAGTTCATCTTAGGAGATCTCAGAATCACAGGGGATTACATTGTTATTGAAATATTTTTTCCTAAGTTTCCCACATATACTGTTCTCCTGTGCAACTTTCTCCTTTCCATGAGAGCTCCATAGAAATAGTTTATATATTATTGCAAGGAAAAATAAATCTGAAAGTCTTTGCTTATTTCTTTGTAGTTTCGAGTTTTAACCATCTTAATGAATTTATTCACACTCATGTGACCTCAGGTATACTACATTTATTGCTAACTTTAAAATCTGAAATATTCCCCGCTCCCTGAAGCTAAATTGGAACAAAAGTTCAAGACCTACACTTACAACTCTCACTCAGTATCACATACAAGGGGCTGGAAATAGTACAGGGAGTAGGGCATTTGCCTTGCGTGCAACTGATCCAGGTTTGACCCACAGCACCCCATATGGTCCCCTGAGCATCGCCAGGAGTAATTCCTGAGTACAGAACCAGGAGTAACCATTGAGCACCATAGGATGTGGCTCAAATCTTCCACCTACTCCCCCCCTCCCACACACACACAAAAATGTACCACATATAAAGAGCTGTAGTGATATGAGTAGATAAATGGGAAAACAGATTTGAAATATTCATCTCAACTTAAATTAGAAATAATTAAAAAATAAAAGAAAAAAGAATACTTTATTAGAACTGATTTTCTGGGTGAATTTTGCATAGTCGTTTTTTGGTATATTGAGCCGTTGAATTCCAAATTTGCATTTCTGCCAGAGGAACATTATCATGTCCACAACGATTTCTTTATCAGGCTGAATATCCTGAAAATAAAAATGGCAAAGTGACATGAATAATAAGATATGGAGATAGGTATCATTTCATATGTACCAGGCAACATTCATAGAGCATTATATACACTGCAATGGACTGGGTATTTATGTCTTCAAAATTCTGTGTTTTCCTAACTTCTATGTGATTGCATTAGAAAATAGAAACTTTAAGAAGTAATCAGGCAGAGGGTGAGCCCGCATGAATGGGAGGGGCGTGGTGTAGGCTCTTATTAAAGGGACACCTTACCCCCACCCCAGATTTTCTCACACTCTCCAGGTGGAGTGCCCTTTAAGATCCAGGGTGGGGCTCTCACCACATATTTACTGGAGCCATGATTCCAGATTTCTCAGACTCCATAACTGTGATAAGTAAATATTTTCTACAGAAGCTTGCTGATTTATGGCATTTTTGTTATAATGACCAAAATGAACTAAGATATATATCAAGACATTTAATCTCATAATAACCCTATGATGGGAGTACTAGTAATCTCATCACCATTTTAGAGATGAGCACATGATGAACTGGCTTTTCCAAGCTGAAAGGAATAGGAAGTAGAAAAGGTAGGTTCACATGCAAGAAATCTAACTCCAGAATCCTCATTCTTAAGGAATGCTGAAGGCAGTTTCTGTCTCTCTGCAAAGAAAGGCCCCAAATATTCTTAGGCAAGTATGCACACCAATCAGTCCCATCCGAATTAAAATTTTAAGACCTTCTGTCTTTTAAAAATGTATATGCTAAAACAATAACATTGTGGTGGGGAGAGAATTAGGAAAGAATCTAAGCAAGAGAAGACAGACAGGAAGAAACTAAACAGAACATTACATTTGAAACTAAATTCCTCTCTTTCAAAAGCATAATGCCTGCCCAAGCTCAAACATAATCTAAGAAACCCTGAAGAAATATAAAATTGTATTACACTGAAAAGTTCTAAGTCCCTCACTGTGTTTCAATGATCTGTGAAGTTAAGGCAATGCTTTGAATTGGGTTTTCAAACTTCTTCAAAACAATAAAACCAAGTTTTCAATGAAATTTCATCCAAATCTCAACACTGTATACAAACCAACTAAAAACAAATTAGCGTGTTATTACCCAAAGTTCCCAAGGAACCTCAAAGAAGCCCCTAGAATACCTGGAATTATTCTCTTTTAAATTCAATGCTGAACTAGGCTGACTTATATTTTCAAACCCATAAGTCATCATTTCTAAATACTGCTCACTTTATGCGCAAAATTACACTAAATAAGAATCATGCTTTATATTCATGGAATGAAAAACAGTATTTCATTAATAGTATTATATCTTCATTAAAACTACTACCTCATTCCTTTCATTATAAGTTTGTCAAGGAGTTCCTCAATAAAGTATAGAGAGATGCAAAAATATAATAATAATAAGAGACTTAACATTACAAATCAAGTTATAATTCAAATCTCTTAGGTTAACAAATAATATAAAATTTTGTCAAAACACAATTCCTTTTGATATTTTCTATCTGTATTGAAATTAAATATACAATAGCCTCCTTTGACACTATTAAAAATTATTCTAAATAACTATCTCACCTGGGGACAGTTACAAACACAGGAATACAACACTGCTGCTAGATGGAAAATGTCTTCTGAATATGTACAAGTCTTCATGCAGGTATCTTAATTCAAAAAGAAGGAAAAAATTGAAACAAAAAAATGACAAGCTTTTAAATACATAAAATGTACAGAATTAGAAATTCTATAAAAGTAAAAGTAGCACAAATGATAGCTGTGCAAATATCATGGCAACAAGACATTTTCTTTATTTCTCCTTATAATGTACTGATTCTGTTAATACACTTAAAAGGATAGTCCTTTCGATGCAAAGATAAAGAAGAGGCATTGCTCGAGCACAGAGTTAAAACCAAGACAACTACAAAGCACACTTGAGTGTTTACTGTGCAAAAGACATTTTAAATGTTTCTATATAAAATCTAAATGGGCTTTAGTCCAATTAAAATAAACCCTTATTATCATGAATCTGCATGCCAGCTATGTCCAAAATAGAACTAAAGAGGACTATTATATTACAAACATATAAAATATGGCAGCAGAAAAAATAGAAAAAATATCTATTCAGAAACCACTAGAAGAAAACTGCATCGTTTTAAGCATAGCAATTGAGCTGCCATGTGACACATGAAGAACATGATATAACGATTTTAAAATGAAATCTAAAAATGTCAATTGGATTACCAAAGAGGCTTCAGAATTTTTAATTATGCACACTAACATTTTTTAGCAGTTCCTACAGTAGGGCCAAAGAGATAATTCAATGGACTGAGCATTTGCAAAAAGCACACTTTGCATGCAGAAGGCCTGGGTTCAATCCCTGGAACTGCTTGGTCCCTTGAACATGGCAAGGATGAACCCATGCGCATTTGTGGGTGTGGACAAAAAAATCAAAAACCAAAAACAATGGAGGTCAGAAAGAACACAGTTGTTAAAGTGTTTACCTTTTATGCAGCCAACGCTGGTTTGGTCCTTCATACTGCTGATGGGCCCTGGAGCACTCCCAGGAGTGGCTCCTGAGCACAGAGGCAGGAGTAAACTCTGCCCCCCCACACACACATACACACACATCCTACAATAGAAAATGGCTCTCCACTAAAAAGAGAGATCATCAGATCAAACTTTACCAAAGAGAATGAAAGCCTTTTGATTTACTGCTTTTGCTACCTCTCACTTATCAACAAAGCTGCAAATAAGTAGATTCTCATTTGCCTTTCAAGACCTTTGCTCATGCATAAATCAAGCATCCTCACAAAACTCAGAAGCCTGTGAGATCTGACTCTTACTTGAACTTTATCTCCCACCATCAATTCTCAAATTCTAGCACCATCAACTATACTCCAACTCTTTACCATTCTTCCAACAATTAGCATACTCACTTACTCTTTGCCTCAAATATTCTTTTCCTCAGTTAACTTATAAAAATACTTAAAAAAACTTAATTTTTAAAAACAAATACTCACTATGCAAAACATATTTTTTTACAAAATCTTGAGCTGACAGGCCTTCTTTGTAGTTCTCCAAAGGCAGGATTGTACCTCTGTTTTTCTTTATATTGATTAGAGTTTCTACTACAACAAGAAGAATTAAATCCTTCTCTGCTTTCTTTGACTCTGGCTCATCCCGCCCCTAAGAGAAGTCCACAGTTAGTAATTCGATGTCATCTAAACAAAATAAAACTGAATTTGTGGATTTTATTATCTATATCACCTGGAGAAATTCAAGAATCTGCCCAGCTGAAGATTCAAACAAACTCCATTCCTCATAGTTAAAAGCAAATTTTGCAAATTTCAAGGCTGCGTCCAGAGAAATAACATTTTTTCCCCCTATAAGTAGCTTCAAAAAGGATGTCACAGGAAAATCAAAGATTCCTTCTTTGTCAGTATTTGATACTGGAAAAAGAAAAAGAGGTTTGATATCATTTGTGCAAATAAATATTTATTAAATATTAATGATCAAATACTTTCAGACACTGGGAAAACAACCACAAAGAAATGAGCACAATCCCTGCCTTTACAGAGCTTGCATTCTGAAGGGGCAGGGACAGGGATAGAGCAGAAATTTCAGCAGGCAAACACAGACAGAGGAAGAGGCACAATGCAAGGATGTCAAAGCAGATCTGCACAGGGAAAGCCATCAGGAAGGCTACCCAGAAAATGGGATTCAGAATCTTCCAGGGAATCGGCAACCATTATCAAGTCACCTAAGTCACTAAGCACTACAGATCTACAAATCTAAAGCACCAGAACAAGAGCTGAAAAAGGACTACAGCAGTGCTGGAGGATAGTACAGGGGTTAGGGTGCCTGTCCAGTAGCCAAACATCACCAGATGTAGCCCTGGAAGACTCTGAGCACTGCTGGGGTGCTGAGTATCCCCAGCACCAAAAGACCTGAAGGCTGGAATTCTCAGACCAATGCAGTGAAATTCCAACTCACTCAGGTGAAAAGAGTCAGAGGTGGGGACCGCCCAAACCTCCTGAGCATTCCTTGGGAGGCCCCAAAACAAATAAATGAATAAGTAAATAAATGGACATAGACCTCTGAAAATCATCATTACCTATCTGCATATGGTAATCGATGTTAAAGAAAAAGCACAAACTGACCGTGTCAGGACTGAAAAACCGTAGGTTTCACATAGGTTTCACAGATATTAAAAAAAAAAAATAGCTAAATAAAATCAAATGTCTTCAAGGAAATACAATTTACCAAACTTCTGGATGATTTTTTTAATGAAAAATTATCATTTATATCTATGGGAGAAATGTAATCTATAGTTTTTTTTAAAAGCCTTTAATAAAGAAAATTCCAAGTCCCAATGGCTTCATGAGTAGTCAACCACTTGATCACTTGATCACTTGACTTCCCGTTAATCGTCGATTTGCTCAAGCTGGCGCCAGTAACGTCTCCATTTGTCTGTGTCATGTGCTACTGTAGCCCAATGGCATCTGTTTGTTCTAGGAACACGAAGAGCCTCAAACCGATCATTCATGATCTTGATGAAGAAGTCTGACCATCTGGTAGGTGGGCAGCCACGCGGTCTTTTGACATCCGGTGGAATCCAGTCGGTATCGGCTCTAGTCCAGAGGTTGTCTCTAAATCTCATTACGTGACCAGCCCATCTGATTTTTGACTCCTTGGCAAACAAGACAGCGTCCCTGATTCTTGATCGTCCACGGAGGTCGAAACTCCGGATTCTTTCTCTCATTTGAGTGAAACATGATACTCCAAGAATAGCTCTTTCAATTCCTCTTTGGGAGACCCAAATAGCATTCTCAATCTGTTTGCGTAGGGCCCAGGTCTCTGAGGCATATGTTAATGTAGGAAGAACAGTGGAATCAAAGAGATGTGCCCAGAGCTGGAGGTTCTTCATCCTCTTAGCTTTGACACTCTTGAAGGTGTTCCAAGCCGCTCTCTTCCTCCTGAGCAGCTCAGGTGCCAGGTCATTTGTCATGTTGACTTCTCGACCTAGGTATACATAAATGTTGCATTCGGAGATGGTCGTTCCGTTGAGAGCGAATGGGGCATCAGGAACGAGGCTGTTTTTCATAAACATTTTCTTCGTAAGATTCAGCTGTAGTCCGACCTTTCCACACTCACGGTCGAAAGTCAGCCAGCATTTGTGCCGCTTGGCTAATGTTTGGTGTTATTAGAACAATGTCATCAGCAAAGTGGAGGTGGTGTAGTTGCCAACCATCTATCTTCACTCCCATTCCTTCCCATTCCAGTCGTCACATGATGTTCTTGAGGGTGGCACTAAAGAGTTTCGGTGAAATGGTATCACCCTGCCAAACCCCTCTCTTGACATCATTGATTATTTCTTTGTAGAATGGTGAGATCCTGGTAGTGAATCCGTAATACAGCTCACGGAGGATCCTGATGTATTGAGTTTGAATGCCCTGATTGGCTAGGGCTTCAATGACCGCTTCCATCTCAATAGAATCAAAGGCCTTCTTTAAATCAATGAACGTTAGACAGAGTGGCATCTTGAACTCCCGAGAAACCTCAATGAGCTTGGTTATCATGTGGATATGGTCGATGGTGCTGAATCCTTTGCAGAACCCGGCTTGCTCACATGGTTGTCCTTCATCTAGTGTTCTGCCAATCCTATTCAGGATGACTCAAGTGAACAACTTGTACATGACAGACAGTAGGCAGATCATTCGCTTGCGGTTGCCTGAGGCATGTGCCAAACCACATTGGCGAATAAGCTTAAGAGTTTTCGAAGACAGGCATTGTTTTGTGGCTATCTCTCTCTTGGCATTCCTCGCACAATCATGGAGGTACTGAACCAGTATTCTTCATCATTGTTGTCAACAATGGCATTTTCCCATGTTGCAGCAATAGTGCCAAAAAGCTCCCAGTTGGTGGTTGTTTTGGGAGTTCTCTTTTGAAACTTTGCAGCCCTTTTTCCCCGCTCTGTGAAATAGAATTTTGCACGAAGGAGACGATGGTCCGATCCCGTTCGAAATTTTGGGACAACAAGCGCGATATCGGTCAGGCAAAACCATCCATTGAATATGATGTGGTCTATTTCGTTGTGGAACCGTCCACCGGGAGACTCCCATGTCCAACATTTAGATTCTGCCTTCTGGAACTGTGAGTTACCATGGATGGTCTTGGTTGACATGATGAACTCAGACAGTCTCTCACCCTGTTCATTCCATTCTAGGCCATGGGTCCCAATGTGGAGTTCTTCGGCTGATCTGCTCGGTCCTATCTTGGCACTACCTCCACTACCCAGCCGCTGCCACGCTCCAGGATGCTTTCCAGATCATGCAACACATAAGATACTAAATACCCATCTTCTAAAACTGCCATACCATATTTGATAGGGTTCAAATATGGTTTGAACCGTGGGAACACCTACAAGGGCGATTAGAGGCCGCCCCAAAAGCCTCTATTCCTCTCAGAGAGCCTGGCAAGCTACCAAGAGTATTCCACCTGCATGGCAGAGCCTCGCAAGCTCTCCATTGTGTATTTGATATACCAAAACCAGTAATTACAATGGGTCTCACTCCCCGACCCTAAAGGCGTCACAGCGTTGAGAAGGATGAGAAAGGAGAGGCTGATAAAATCTCATGGCTGAACTAGGCTGCCACAACGAAAGAAGACAAAAATGATCACCTGTACTTTCAATACATGTACGCTAGCATCAGGTGCATCCATCGAGGACCTGATGGTACAAGCGCAAAAGATCAACATTGGTCTGACCGAGACAAGAAGGCACCAATCTCATCATGCCATTTTCGACACTGGAGAAGAATTGTTCCTCAGAACATATGATAAAAGAGGTGTCAGAGGTGTCGGTGTCCTTGTCAACATGAACGTGGCCATGAACATTGATTCATTTGAATGCCTAACAACCCAAATCAGATGTTTACATTTGAATAGAT